ATATAACCTTCCTTGCCCTTACTCATTATAATCATAGCAGTGATTATGGTCGTATGGGAGGTAATATTAGCCTGCTTCAATTTGAAGTAAAACTTTCACATACTTTCCGAATTCATTTATTCATTTTCCCACAATCTGTTCCAGAACCATCAGATGAGGTGCCATACACTGAGCTGAAGTCACTGGAGATGATGGTCAACAGAAAACATGATAGCGGAAAGTTGCCCCACTTTTTGATCTATCCAGCAGTCATTTTGCTGGGTGCCTCCATGGCTTTGGCAGTATTTCTCACCATTGCGTATGGCGGAGAGCTGAGTGATAGCACTGTGTACAACTGGGCTGCTCTGGTAGGAGTGGCACTGCTAGAGGACTTGTTTGTGTTTCAAACCTTGAAGGCAGTTTGTGTCTATGGTTACTGCCTACTTTTCTCATCAAATGAGGCTGGTGAGGATGATCACATGCAGGAGAAGGCACAGCTTGTTAAGTTTTAAAAAACTGATTGCTCTAGTGACAGTGGAACCTTTAACTAATTTAGTGATATATATTCAGAAATGCAGAACTGTGCAATTTATGATTTGAAGAAAAAAAATATATGACATGAAAATATTTTGTATTGAACTTTGATCTTGATATTAATGCATAACAATGGTGCAGAAAATGTGACCAGAATCTCATTAAGTTCCTTTTTTTATTAATTGATACTGCTGTTAATGATCTCATTCACTTTAAATAGACATTTTTTTAGATAACCAAGGCATTTAATGCTGAAATAATGTGCTTCATTGATCTGTGATAATAAAATCTATCTTGAGTATTTGGTCAGTATTCTTTTTTTATTTTACTGACCCTTGTGTTCAAGTTTCAAAATATTGAATACAAGTTTGCAAAAAGAAGACAAAGTTTCATGGATAATCATGGCAAATTATGCTCATTTAGGTTTAAGATATTTTGAATTTGATAAAAATCAATCTTTAACAAAGGAGTCAAGCTAGTGAAATCCTAGATAAAGCCAGTTAATTAAACAATTTAATAAATAAACTGAAATATATTCTATGCTTTTCCCTTGTGTTATGTCAACCTCAACTTAAAAATCCATTTAAAAAGTCCCATCTTAACATTTCTTCATCAGATTTTTTATTTCGTACAGTGCAATCAAAATCCATTCCCATCTGTTGCCCTCTGTAAGCAATCTGCATTTTCTATTACAACAATACAATTATTAGTCTTTTACAGTTCTTTATTGCGTTTCATTAGAAAAAATTATGTCATTAACATGTTTACATCAGTGACCAAAATCACTGTTCACATTAACTGTAAATTAAAAGTTGTACTTCATCTGCCTTTAACAATTATCTACAGCATTTTCTTATCTCTATGATAACTCATATATACACATTTTTGAAATGGTAAATACAATTTGCAAAAGCCATTTTCTGGGGAGTAAGTACTCATAAAGAAAATACAAAAGGTCTGACGTGAAGCCCCTTCAACTAGCTGTACTGGATACCTTTTTTTCTTTTCATGCCACTAGCTATTATAAAAAAAAAGAAAGAAACACTGTACTTATGTATGGATGATTAATCCTCTGAAGATCTGCAAATATTCTTTCTCTTATATTTCTGACTGGAAATGAGGCATTGAACTAAAAATGGTACAAAGGTTTGATTAATTTTGGTTTGATCGATTGTACCTTTTTTTCCCCCCCCCCCCCCCCCCAATCTGAAAAAGTGAAGTTTACAGTTTTATACTAGTTAAATGTTTTAAACGAGATATATTCAAGAGATGTGTGGCTATCTGTTGACAAACCTTAACTGCCCTTTACTTTACTGCATAATATGCTGTCTCTTATACAACACCACTATACTATCTAATCATCAGGTGCTCATTGAGTTGTGTACACTGCATTTTTTTTCAATATTATATAAAAAAAGTCAATAAATCAACAGAGAACTAAGCAACAAAAACAAATACAAATGGAAAAACCCTTATAATTTTCTATGCGATTCTAAGATGACATTTATTAATTTTCAAAATATTATACTATAATGCTAGCATCAAAAAAGAATGACAATTCTGAACCAAATCCTTATCAACTTGACATAAGGCACCATGAAGTTATCCTTTAAATGACAGTGCTCAATAACCTTTAAGACTTATTGAACACTATATGGTGGAACTGTTTCTCCATTATTATGTTATTATTTCTGCTAATCCAACTAACTGTGCCTCTTTAATATAAAGGGCTTACTAACTGCAACACCCGTGTTAATTTCAGCTTGGACAGTTCTTATCAGTGAGTCAGTATTGTCCCCCCCCCCCCCACACACACACACACACACACACACACTCATCTCTACTTCTATCACTGCCACGTTCTGACAGTGTGTTCTTTTTTTCTTACCCCAACTGTCAAATACAAAGCCTATGTCACCTTGATACAATGTCAACTCACTGTAACTTGTCACATGTTGACATATGGCTACTCTGTCAACCTTTCACATAGTGTCACCCCTCAACTCACATTATGACATAGTATCCTCCAAATGTCAAAGGGCCTCCCCTCTGTCAACTTTCCGATGCAGTGTCATCCAAGTGCCAAAAAGTTGATATTTTTCTGACACACTATCGTCCAAGTATCGACCATCCCCCATGGCACCCTCATTCTGTAGGCCAATGTTACCTTTTTGACAGCTGCCACTTAAATGTGCTTGATTTGTCAGGAAAAAAAAAGGAAAAATGATTTGTCATGCAACTCAGTTGCGAGACACAACAAAGCCCACTGGTCACCACTATCAACATGTTACCCTTCCTGACCTGTGCTGCCCTTGTATAAGTTCCTCTTTTTAATCCTTCTCATAATGTCACAGTCTTCTCCATCTTATACTCCACTGCCTAATGTCCTTTTTGACATCAGGTTAAGCTTCCCACTCACTATACTTTCAATAGACCTCTACGTATTCTCCTATTCAAATCCAATATCACCCTTCTGATACGGCCTCTAGACTCGTATTCCCATTTGCTCCAGAGTCACAGTTCTCTGTGGCCAGTAAAACATGTCCATTGTCCCCCTCCCCCTGCCCTGCTGACATCAGCATGTGCGCCTGTTTCAGTGTCTCCTGGTCCTGGTTTTCCCCCTCCCCCTCCTGTTGTTGCTGCTGTGGGTGGTCGAGAGATTCGACAGGAGCAGGGGGTGCTGCCTCTATCCTGATAACGAACTGCTCCTCCTCCTCCACCCCAGAGTTCATGGCTAACAGGGCCTTGGTGGACTTGGCCTTTATTGAAGCCTTTTTCGAGGTATCTAGCTGCTCTGGAGGGTACATCCAACTGTAGTCAGCATTTTGTGGGAGATTTTTCAACTCCTCAGTGGTGTGCCCACTGCTGATGTGTTTCACTAAACTCTGATTGCTTTTAGCTGTGAAAGTACAAAGAGCGCATTTGTATGCAAAGTCTGCTGAATGGTTTGCAACATGTTCTTCCAGGCGTTTCTTTGAAAGTGTGCGGAATTTACAGTGCGGGCATGCCCATGGGTATGGGTTACTTGACCTTCGTCTTTTCCTCTTACCACTGACTGCGTCATATTCATATTCTTCGTCACTGTACTCCTCTGCCTCAGCAGACTCCTGCTGTCTCAATGTCAATGGCTTATCAGAACTCCCCTCGTCTTTGCACAAGTCTAAATTCCAACCTTCTTCAAGATTAGGTGTCACTCCATCTGCTGAAGGCTTAAGGCCAATGTTGTGAGTTTTCATGTAGTCCACACAGATATCCATTAGGCTCTGAATCATCAATGTCTCAGCAGCTTTAAGGAGGGGAAACACGTCCTCAGATTTGATACTAATCTCACCGGTGTATATGAAATCTAAGATACGCTTCACTGGTTGACTTGGAAGATCTATGTTGATTTCACCACCAGATCGAAAACGCCGTTTGAAATACGGACTGCAGGCAATCAGGAGATACTGGTGTGAAAACATAGGTGGACCATCTCTGCACGTGATTTTGGCATCGCATGAGTCTGGATCATTGCGCATGTTGTCTAGGCTCTTCAGCAGCGTTGCTGCATGTTCGGATAAGCGATAGAGATAGATGGGATACCCTCCGGACTGAGACGGCTGTGGAGGTGGCTTAAAATGGAAAACAACAGATGTCATTTATTTTCCAAGAGAACAGTGTTATCAATTTATCTTTAAAGTAATATTTTAGCTATAAAATTAGATACATTAATTGTATGCATAGGTAACATTCCTTTTGATAGTTAGTGCATGTTTGTTTTGTTGTTAATAAACATGCAATTACTAATGTACTAGTAACAACATATCACACTATGCTCATATTTCCAAATTTGTAGGATATCTCTAAATATTCTCCAAACTGATTTGAAAAAATAAATGTACTTCAAAGTAAAGAAAAAGTCGATATGGTTATAAGTGTCCAACTGTTACAGTAGAGGCAATATATACAGGCAATACAAGAATTTTTTCTACAACATACTGGTAAACCCCTTGGAAGTTTACCTGTTCAGAGGTAACTTCACTTGCCACCTGCACCTGGCTGGCCACCTGGTTCACATTATTGCCAATAGGTGTCGAAGCAAGCTGAGCCAGTTCCTGGGCTGCTAGTTGATTTACATCTAGTGTAGACACCTGTGGCACGAAAAGAATAAAATGTACAGAAAAATACACCACATCTAAAGTAATAAAGCACAGAAATTCCCAGTAATAATTATTTGTTAGGGAAAAAACCCTATTTGTCATGCACTGATTAAAACTTTGAATTAATTTACAAAAGTTATAATTCTTTGATGAATATGAGACTAAATTAAAAAGAGGTACCTGGTCCACAAAGTGTGCTGGCACTGTGACTGATGCTGATGTAGCACTTATTATGCCAACTGGTTGCATTTCCACAGCCATTTCGGCAAACTGTAAAAAAATAAGTAGTGGAAATTTTATGTCAGTGTCACATTTTAAGCACAATTTTTATCATTGCCAATGTTAGAATCAATATATTACCAACAAGACAAAGGCATAAACAAAGTAATTACTAGTAAGTCTACAAGAATGGGAGTTCCCTAAAAAAATTACAATTAATTTCTTAATAGTTACATACACAACACATTGGTAAAGATCTGGGGCCCTCCTCAAAATTTTATTCCACCTACATTTATCCAATTTCTTATAAATAAATAAATAAATAAATAAATAAATAAATAAATAAATAAATAGTGAAAAAAATTATTGAAAAGACTTTCTTATCAGCTCCATCCAAATCAAATTACTTTTAATTGGCAAAATTTTCCCTGTGACTGAATGACACTCATAAATTTGTTCATAAAATACAATTGTAAATGAAATAAAAGCAGTTCTACAGTATATCGTCAATCAAGTCAGCTGCTTGCACTGTACCAATTAAGCACAGTGCAAGTTTTGTCAAAACCATTAATTCCGCTACAGATACATCCTATAGATACAACAGTTCGGAAAATTCATACTTGGGACGTTGGGACCTAAATGATCTGATAGTGATACATCCGCTGTACAACGTAAACAGCGCATCGCCAAAGATCGCATTTCAAAGGTAAGGTTTACAGCAAAGTTAGTTAAAAAATACTTGGTGCATAGTTTTCCTAATAACAGTCACTTGTCGGCGAAAATTCTCACGTGAGTCGTTACACACAAAAATATCAGATATTTCCCGAAGCTGAACTTGAACTGAAGCACACGCTTGTTTGCTCTGGTAAGTAATGGAAATTTCCACCTTTCACTGCAGACAACACAATCAAAAAATGGCCTAGTAACATAATTTAACCAAATAAAAAAATCACACATAGGTGATCCACCAAATAGTACATGCATTGAGGAAGACAGGTTGGTTTTTTAGGGACTTGCCTCAGTCACCGCTTCTTCCGCCATTTTGGTAACTACCGTAAAGTGGTAACGAGGAAAAGGTCACTGATTTGATTCTGCAGAGTTATCGAATAAAATGACAACGTGTCATTATATGACATGATAAATAGACTAAATTATTTCATTAATAGTGAATACATTTTACATATATCGTGTAAAATAGTTTCAATTAATGTCGCACTTAATGTCGTGAAACTGAGTACCTACAATCGACTCCCGGCGTGATCGGAGAAACAAAAATCATGAATATCAGAAATGCGATGGTAAGATTCAGCAGTATGCTAAAAGAAAAGTTAAACTGGTTCACAAAACACCCGATGTGTTATTTGTTTTATTAGTGATTAGTAACTGAATAATAACAGTCACAATAAATACAATGTGTAATGCTAAGTCCAGCATCGTTAACGTATGCCATGGGTAGGAGTAGGAGTTGTAACTTGTACATGTAGGAGTTTCGAGTTTGAAGTTTCATTTTTAGCATTCCCATCAGCGGTTTCTGGCATGTAATAGTATGCTTACGCGTAATTCCCTTTATTTGGTTATTGAATCCAAAGGTTAAAAAACGGGATACCGGTTCTACCATACCTACAAGACTACAATGCCTTCCACAAAAATAATAACAATAATAAACTCTCAGAATATGTTAAATATTTTGAATAAATTTTAAAAGACCGCCACATGTACACCATAGTTCAGTTGTTGTCTATTTTATACCAATTGTCTTCTATGCTGTACATATGGCAAATTTTTTAATCAATTTTAAATAACTAACAGCAATTTCTTTTTGCATTTTGGTAAACAAGAAAGTGTTGTATTTTAAGTTGTTTTATGTGGTTTTTAGATTGATAAACAGGACAAAATGACAGTCAAGTATTGGTAAGACTGTACACCAAACTCAAAATGAAACTTAACCATCAGGATTTTATTGACAGTTTAGTGCATATCACTTATTAAATTTCAGCCCCAAGATTTGATGAATATGCAACACTGTAATCTGCTGTGTTTACCAGAAAACTACCAAATGAAATATTATTTCTATCATGGACTGTCATGGCCACAGGTGAGAAAAGGGTATAAAATTGTGTCGTAATTAGCCATGTACTCAGTAAAAAGAATAGCTAAAATGAACGACTCTTTCAATTAGTTTTAATTAAAGTATTTTGTAAAGAAATGATAATAAATGTATAAACAAGATACTAGTACGGAAGATGAGATCTTTTAAAGAAAAATTGAGAATTTTCAAGCTTAAAATGTAATATATTTTTCCTAGCTTTCATATGTTGCTGAAGATGAGGGTGGAAAAATTGTAGGCTATGTATTAGCAAAAATGTAAGTCTTTTATTTCTTTTTTACAAAACAAAAAAAAAGAGAGAGAGATCAAAATTTAATTATTGCATTGCACCTAAAAAATTGATATTGAGGTGTCCAACACCTGGGCCATTAAAGTACTATTGTTATTAATCAGTTTCTCCTAAAATGGCCCTTTAATTTACAGTCTGTGGTTCATTTAAATCCCTATTATCATATCTGTTTATTGGTGCTTTCAATTCCATGTCATTGGATTTGTCTATATTTCTGGCTGTAAGATCAAGTGTTCCATTTGTCAGTTTCTCCAGGAATGCAGTGGAAATGTTCATATGCAGTTTGTACTATGGGCTGTTATCTCAAGTTTTTCAAATGATTTAAATGGATTTTGTATTCCTTTAGGGAGGAAGATCCTGAAGACTCTGTGCCACATGGACATATCACATCTTTAGTAAGTTCATCAAATTTGATATTTGATGTGGCTCTTATGAAGTTTAAACAATGAGGGAAAGTTGGTTAGTTGATAAATTGAAATTTGTAGTTTGACACCTTTGAAAAATTATTGTCTACACCAAATAAATGCATAAGGTATTTTTGTATTTAAAAAAAAGTATGCACTTCTACATGTTACTTACCAAGAGCACTAATATTTTTTTTACTTAAAAATTACTTGCAGCATATATCATTTAATTGTATGAAAGTTAAGGAAATTAATTTAATGCCAAGTAACACTTTTATTATGAGTCCCTTTGGTTTTTATGTGATACATAAAATAAAATGTGCATGTTTTCTATCTGTATTAATTGTTTTATCCAGGCTGTGAAAAGATCCCACAGAAGACTGGGATTAGCTCAGAAACTAATGGACCAAGCTTCAAGGGCCATGGTCGAATGCTTCAATGCCAAATATGTCTCTCTACATGTGAGAAAAAGCAACAGGGCAGCTTTAAATTTATACCAGAAAACTCTGAAATTCAAGTAGGTTGAATATTTTTTGTTATGGATTTTATGTTCATTTTACACCCGAACTGGTATACAGTAAGTTATTTATAGTTTGGGTAAGAACAGCGGATTGATGTTCAGTTTCAGGGAAATCATATTGTTATATTTTTGAAAAATATCAATTTTTTATTTGTAGAAAAGTCATATATTTCGAGTCTAATACTCCATTGCAATATCAGTTTATTTACAATGTGAAATCTTGTATAATGGAAGAATATATAGCGAACCGAATAATGTTTATGTGCTAAATCTTATCTGTGTCAGCATGTTTTGATACTATTATATTTAAGATATTGCAGTAAATATTTCTTTTGTTTTCCAGTATAAGTGAAATAGAACCCAAATATTATGCAGATGGCGAAGATGCCTATGCCATGAGGAGGGACCTCTCAGAATTCTCAGATAAGACTGATAAGGTATGTACTGTCATTAGAAGTAAAAATCAGACTTCTTACTGTAAACAGTTATTTGTGAGAGGAGGTTTTGCAGATAAAAATGAGTATTTGTATTTATTTCCAAATAATGCAGGCAGTTTTTTAGAGTAATCTAGAAGTTTTGACATTGCGAAGCGTTTCACTCTTTGTTTGAATGAAGGTTAGTTAGTTAGTGTTGGAAAACAGGCATAACTTAAAACAGTCTAAGAAGATAAGAGAACAAAATAAAAAAAAGGGGGCAAATAAAAGGGGAGATAGAAAAACATAAAATGGTCTGAGCTGTATTTATTTGATCCATTAGGTTTTACATCTGAGCCTTCTTTTTCATGTTTTTCTTTTATTGTTTCAGCCCCCAGTTCAAGATTCTAACACTAAAACCAGTATAGACTGAATGTTATCAACAGTAACCACTCTTAGACTTAATATGGACAATAAAGTTTTATCCATGGGTGCAAGCTGCAAGGAACTGTGTAATAATTGCTGATATCTCTGCATCATTGGCATGGCGGTGAACACTGAAGTACCAAGGCATCCTGGCCTTTGGAATATCTGAAGTGCAATATCAGCAAGCATGCTTCTTTTGGTTTGAGTTGAATTTTTGCACAGGTAAACCGTGTGCTGGATAGTTGTGTTATGGACAAAAGGATACACATTGGTATAGCCTCTTTTTATGTTAGTTACATGATATTTGTTATCATGTACAGTTAAAGAGTCTATATGTCAATGTGCTGCATCAAATAGATTTTCAACTGGATGCACATGAAGTAAATTTTTGGATCTATGAAATACCTTGTCATGATGTGGGTTATATGATAATTATATTGCTTAAACTGGTTAAAACGAGTTCATTCTTTTTATTATTTTTGTCTTGTTTGCTGAAAGTGTTTTCATTAATTTGATACAGAAAGATAAATCTATTGATAAAATAATGTTTCAGGTTGAATGGTAAGGAAATCAAAATTACAAATACAGAATTTGTAAATATTTTCCTGGCATTATTTTTTACTTTCATAATCTTTAGAATAAACCATTTACACACATCGGATTGTTAGGTTTATACTTTTTGGATTAAAATAATATAAAGACACATAGTTCAGTCTCAATTAAAAATATCAACAACACATGACAACATGTTAATATCAATAATTTATCGTATTTATTATAAAAATAATACTGAAGGCACTTCTTTCATTCATAAACTACTGTCAGTGGTTTTCAATGGAGCCCTGCTCCTGTTTTAAAAAGCAACAATTATAATATATACTATTATGGTTGTAACCTTGAAATACATCAAATAAAAAAATATCATTAGACACTTTTTTTGTACCTGATTGACCTCACAGATTCAATAATCATATCAGCATTTAACTACAAGTAAGTGTTATAATCACGTGATTGGTCTCCGCACACAACAATATCATGTTAGACATAGCATTGCATGATGACTTTCAGTGATACAATCACCAATAGACTTCCCAGCATAACTGGAGTATGCATAATCTGTAAATTTTTCTTTGTGTTTCACATTTGTATAAACTTTCTTCTTGTCACACAAATCCTCATCAGATGTTGTGCTTTAAATATCAGAGTACCAATAATTATCTATAATTACACTTTCAAGTTTGTCATGATGATTGTTGCCCATATAATAATACACAAGCCCCAAAGACGGGCCATTTCAAAGTTGACCCGTGAGCCAAAGGGCAGTTTATATTGGACTATTAAACTGTGTTTTTGTAAAAAAAAAAAAAAAAAAAAAAAAAAAAAAAAAAAAAAAAAAAACTCTTATATGAAGCTTGTACCAGACACTTAATGAGACAAATGTTTTAATTTACATTTTAGTATAACTACTGACAGATACTTTTTGGATAGCTTCCACTATTGAACCCTACCACAACATGTTACTAGCCATTCCAATGCTGCCACCACAGTTAGCATTTTAATGAAAGTATCACATTCATACGTTCCACAAAGGTTTATTTTTATATGGGTCGTACATGCCCATCTGAATGCAGCCACTGTCATTAACTGGCCATAAGTTCAAGTCATTGTCGTAACCATGATTAGTACGCAGTTCACCTGTTGTTGTGTTTCTGAACATGCTGCGTGCCCCTGGCTCGTGCTGTGGGTTGTCGTAAGGTGGCATGCAGAGGCGTATCTTGTCCAGAAGATGACCAGGCCAAAAGGCATTGTCATCAATGTTGCCATGGAGCTGCTTGTAGCGCACAGCAAATTTACTGAAAATAGGAAGTATTATACATTTAATTGCATGAATTCATACTTCTTTGGGCTGGTTTGCATTATACTTCAAAACAATAGTTACAGATTTTAAGGACAGATATTTACTGCCATTTGCTTTATATAATTTAAAAGCACCTGCCTGTAAATGAGAAGAAATGAAACTTTAATGTAGAATTCATAAACAAAGGGGAAATCCGTTCAGAAGGCATATTCACTACTGATGCCTGGGCAAAATGTTATCATATTTTGTCCACAGTGTAAAAATGTTTGTTGTCTATATTTCACCCACAAAGAGATCCCAATGCCTTTACCAACAGTACCTAAGTGTTGGAAAATGAACTGTAAATAAACCACCACTGGAGCTGCAGGGTAAGTGCTTATTCCAAGAAGTTGCATCAGTAGTTTTCTTAGAAATGTGAGTTCTGGGAAAGACCTATATTTTGTTATTTTGCATTCAAATTGTGATGACCTCTATTTAGTGATGAATTTCTTAATGGTCACTACTCAAAGATGGGTAAAGAGCAGTCTTGTGAGCATGCAATGCACAGTGGGAAGAAAAGAAGGGAAAAATAACCCAATGCACTTGTCTTTTTTCATGTTTTTCAAGCTGATTTTCAAGTCATTGGTAAATTTAGAGGATGGCACTGCTGTAAGTATCTGAGTATGTGCATTGTTAACTACATAGAAAAAAATTGTAGTGTTTCCAAGAGGATTTACATTGCATTGATTTGTGTGATTTGGTTTACTTTGTATTGAGAAGGTACACAAGGTGACGCGTTTTTTACTTGGTGTTTGTTGCTTTAAATAGTTAAACATCTTGTAGAACTTTACATCAATCTTGTAAAAGTTTGTATGTATCAATACTACTTTCAGTTGCACTAAACTGAAAAAAGTCTCTCATTTTTTTGTGTGTTCAATCCTAATAAGATGTGGAATGCGAAATTATGGAATGTGAAATAAAAATGAGACAGTCCCATTAGAATGTTCTCCAGGTAGACTTAGCTTGAGGATAAAGCTAGACTGAAGGACTTTAGTTTTTGTAGATGACTTCTTGGGTTTATTTCCCAACGAGCCTCTAGTACCCAGATGTATCCAATGCAGACAGTAAAATACTTGAGGTGTGCTGGATTTGATGTCCAGACTACAACAGGAATGCTGGCAGAAAGAATCAAGAAGCAAATAAACTACCACTGCTGACGCTGACAGCGACCATGAAGAGCGAAAAAGAAGCATCAAGCAAAACCAGAAATGCAATTTGGGACATTACACAGCTACACGTGAGCAGCATCAACTAACAACTCTCCTGGTCATATTTCAAAATAACAAAACAGATGCCAGCAACTCTTTTGGCCATTATCCAGTGCCCTGATCACGAAATACCATAGATTGTCCTAAAAAAAATATCAACTAACTCACCTCGTTAACCTGTCATACTCCTCAAATGACATCCAGCAGTCCACTCTCCGCCTGACCACTGCCCTCCCTGTGGACAGGTTGATCTTGTGGCCCGCTGGCGCCACCTTTTCATGCTGTGGGTACATGTGTCTGCTGTCTATCAGGAGCTGGCCTGTCTTGGACAGTATCATCTTGTCCTTGTGCTTGATTTGCATGGGAGTCTTTGGTTTCTTGGGAGGGTCTGCATAGTGGGAAGAAACCAGCAGATCCACACCCGGCTGGCGGATTTTCTTTTTCAAGAGGGAATGTGGTTTGTCAGGTGGATGGAAGAGAACTGAATGAAAAAAGGTGGATATTGTTATTTGAATTTAGAAACAATTTTAATTAAAAATCAAAGTTTTGAAGTTGTAAAATCCTCCACTTCATTCTGATTGTGCATACTGCTACTAGTATTTGTATGTTGTGCAAATCTCAAAACTTTCACACCTACCCCTTTCTAATAAGCTTTCTGCCAGTGGCACATGGTTCTTCTGACACACCCTGAGAATCTCATGGTACTCTTTCACCTTGAGTTGCCTGAACCTGTCCACCATGTCTGCAGTCTCACCCTCCAGGGTGGAGGGGCGGCAGTGGTCGTCTATGGCCTTATTGCCAGTCTTTATCAGGGCTGCCTTTCCTGTAGTCTGCCGGTGCTGCTTGAAACTGGGAGTCTTAGGCTGAAAAGGAGAGTGTTTTCTTGACAGTGAATGCTTATATTATCAAGTAAAACCATAATACAAGAAAGCTGCAAGTAATGCATATATGTTGCCACTTACTACAGTGACATGTGCATTTTACACCCTTGCACCAAATTAATTTATATATGAGCATTAACAGTATATTCTCTCGTAAGCAATATCTGATATGTATTTAGAACCTTATGTAAAAGAATGCATAACTATAAGCCCTCCTTACCAGCTTCTTCCCCATCATTCTGGCAAGCGCCTCCCTGTCTCTCTTCCTGAGGTCCAACATGGCTTCCTCTGAGGACAATATCATTTGCTCTGGCCGCAGGTCCGCCTCTGGAGGCTCCAGGTGCAGGGATGATGTCGGGGACGGAGATCTTGACTGACTGATGGTGCTCAGTTCTGACTTGGGCCGGGCACTAGCACTGGGATTACTCATGCTGCTAGCAGTTCCTGAAGGAATTATTTAATTTCACTTAAAACTAATACATAGTATCACTGAATGTAAAACAACAGATAGGGCAATATCATCATCTTGTTTTATGCTATGACCCACTGATGGGTCCTAGTTTTAAAAAAGCATCCCTTTCCCTCTCAATTTCAAACTGCATGAATTGCATTTAGTAAATGTTGTGAATTTAAATATAAATCATTCCCATTATCTATCTATTTGTATTTCTATATTTATGTAATTAATTAATTATATTTATTCATATCACAAGAATTTGGATTTGTTTCCCAAATTAATTGTACAGAAAATCTGAAAATTTTTTCATTACAACTTCTTTCCCACTTACCAGTCTTAGTAGGTGGTGATGGGGGCTGCGGTGTCTTGTGTGAGCTGACGGTAATCTCAGGCTGTGTGCTCTCAGCAGCTTCTTTAATACTCCCTTCACCAGCTCCCTGGATCCCCCTCCCACCCTCAGAACCCCCAATCTGAACCCCCTTTACGCTCTCTGGAGCTCCATCTGGTGCCCCACCCCTGGGCCCACTCACTTTGGACTTGGTTACTGTTGTTGAGCTGATTGTGGAAATTTTATCTGAAATGCACAGTATTTTGATATTTTACTATTCCATTCTATGTCAAATATATTATATAATATATGTAATATAAATAACTTAAGATAAAAAAAGAAAATAATTTTAGTACTGAAAATGATCAAATTATTACCATGTTCAGTATAATGTGAGGAAGGAACTGAACAATATTTTTAAAAGTTATAATAGATTCTTTTCATCTTCTTTTGAATACATGTGTATATTTCACACACCTTCAAATAAAGACAACATATAATAACTTCTTAAATCTTAAATCTTCTCAAAATCTTAGCAACTCTAAAGTTAAGCAAGAAGCCTCAATCATATGCATGTCAATTATTTCTAGTTCTGACCTATGCTCCCCATCTTCTTCTGTGACTCTCTCCTCTCTATCTTGTACTGGTCAAGCCCCATGGCCAGCTCCTTGTAGTCCAGCTCATCATTGAGGTCAGTGTCCAGAGCCAGCATTAAGTCCTCCAGCAGGATATCAGAGATGGGGATGTGGTTCTGACAGGGGAAAAATTGAACAAACTTAATGAAGAATTGGTGTATATTTTTCTATTATGGGAACAATGTTTAAAGATACATACAAAGTCAATTTTTTGTCATAAAAACCAACCAAATGCCAGCATATAGTTTCAAGTAGTATAACTAAGAGAATTACCAAAAGGCATTGTTTAATTTTACCCGAAAGTGATGTTTGAACAGATTTTTCTGCTAGCATTCTATGCTGTACGTCAATGGGGCAGAAAAGTAGGTCACGAAAGTAGGTTAAATTGACAACCAAAAGTTTAAAGAATTGAGCATTCTAAAGCTCTTTTATGGTTGATCGGGTGATTTACTCAGTTCATCCCTTGGCATGTCGAATTTATTAGAGTCGTAGAAGAAACTAGTAGAAGTGGTTTACATGTGTTACTGGGAATCCTACTCCACTGATGCTCGGTTCGCATGTACCTTTAAAGCTAACACAAGACTAAGAAGATATGTATTATGTCACATGATTAACTATCATGTGAAGGTAATAAGTGGGGTTATCCGTAAATGAAAAAAAATATGACAAAGTTTGTAATTTAGGTTAACATTATAATTAAGCAAATCAATATTATATCAAGAAACAATTCATAAGGAAAAAAAATTAATTCAGGGCATCAATAAATAAATAAGTATTTTAACTTCATCTGCATAGGTCCCATAGAGCTACAGATCTAAAATTATTCAATACAGAATTACAGTTCCTAAACCTACCTCTTTTATAATCTTCCTAAATTCCTGTGTTGATATTTTCCAATTTTTATCTTTGTCGACTTTCCTGAACAAGTCAATGAGTCTCATATTTTTCTTGTGTAAAAACTCATCTATGGCTTTGATAGCCAGAGGTGCAGGGCGGTGGACCAAGGGCAAATTTTCCGGCAATTCACCCTCTAGATTTACTTCTATCACAGGCTGAAAAAAAATTTTAAAAAATACATATACGTATATAAAGAAAAGAAATTCCAGTTTGTAAAAGACTATGAGAAATATGGAATTGAAAGAGCTGACAAATTTTTGCATTGCAAATTTGAATCAAATAGTTCCAGATTAAAACACTTGCCAATTTTCAAACTAACTTTTTACTCTGGAGGGTACTTTGACACATCCTCTCACCTACTGCAAGTGTGTCTTCTTCTTCTTTCCTTTAGCATTAACTTCACAGTGCATTAAAAAGCTTCTCAATTCTTTTCATAAAATATCAAAAGTTTGTACATCAAGTTACAACTGTATCAAAAAGAAAACTTATTGTAGGTATTTTCTTATCCCATCCCCATGTTTCTAACAAACCTCAGGAGAAGGTGGCTTTGGTGTCCTAGCATCTATAAATCTCTGGAGCATCCTGTACTCTAAAGGAGTCTTGTCAGGTTTGTTAACCAGCCATTCTTCATTCAAACCCATGGATTCTAAAGTGATTCTAAATTCCTTTCTTTCTTTAAACCACTTTTTATACTTGGCAAGCTCTGGCATGGCATATTCTATTTCTGCTTCCTCTGAATCTTTTGTGCCTTTATCTTTAGTTTTTGTCTTCTCTGGCAGAGAGAGTTCTGGTGCAGATTCAATTTTTCGGTTGACCACTGGGGCCTTTTCCATAGGCGGAGCTAAAATTCTTCTTTTCCGAGCTCCAGGTGGCACACCAAACATATTTGATGCTATTTTGTATAATTTTGCTTTTTTCAGGTCCCTTTCTTTGTAACCTTTGAGAAATTCCTCCACGGTAGTATGGTCATAGTTTAAAGGGTCAAAGAGGCGATTAAGACAGAAGCCCAGGTCCGAGGGTACTGCCCCCACTCCTTCTCTCCACTTGGTCCCCATGGTGTCTCTTTGCAAGTACAGTACCAGTAACCTGTTGCTTCAGGAGAACGAATCAGTGAATGCACCAGTTCAAGTCAATCAGAGTCATGTTAACGTCACAAAATCAGCCTCATCAGTGGCCTAACCTGTAAGTGTAATGTAATATATAACGTTATATAAAAAATATATATTTAATCACTTCAGATACTAAAATAAAAACAATGCACAAAGGCTACACCATTTCCTTGTCATTCATTGTTGGCACTGTTTAAGTTTGCCGCAGGTTAAGGCTGCACTTTGTCATTCGCATTCGATGGTATTTTAAACTGAAGCAAATCCAATGACATGTGATTATTAAAAACAAAACAGGCAAAACACTCTTGTCTTGAAGGCTTGACTCTTTTTTTGTGTCAGAGATATACTGCCGCGATTCTATACTGTTCGGCAGGGAAATTAGTAAAGCGTTTGATAAAACCGTTAAACAAGTAAATTTGGTGAAATACACCTACACATTATTATTATCTAAATCTCCTTTGATTGTCAAATTCCAAAGATAACTTACCCCAACCAAAGAGACCGACATATGACCGCCATGTTGTTGCTACTGTAAACAGCAACGAGGTTGATCCAAGACAAGCCAAAAATATACATTCAGTCTGTATTATAGCCTGTATTAATTTGCCAGATGATATAAGTATATAGTTTAGTTTTTTTACTACGTTATTGTGTCTGAAGTAAGATATAAATCCTTTCACCGAAATTACTAAAGGTTTATCTTGACGCATGCGCACTTACTATAAATAAGCACGTATTTTAAAAGCAAGGTCGTCTGCACTTTCACATTAGTTTACTAAATTTAGTGGATTTTCTTCAATTAGATCTTTCTGCCGTTTAACATAAACCTGAAAATTCCATAAGATCACCGAGAAAAAAGGAATTGGGGTTGGACGAAAATCAAAATGTGCTTTAAAAAGACATGCGAGAAGTGTGGAAAACCAACCTGGGGAGGTGAGTTAATTGATTAAAGATACAAGGCTTACAGGTAAATTCAATAAATATATTCAGTACATTTTACCCCTTGCACTACTTAAGTCATTTTTTTTCTTTTAAATGTGTTTGTGTGAGACCTTTCCATGGCAACCCTCTCTCCATTACTTCAACTTTAGGTATTTTTGTAGTATCCCCCCACCCTGTAATTAACTTACACTTTTCAAACAGTTTTTTTACAGTTTTTATTAGCTGTTAATATTCTTAGTAATTGGAACCTCAAATTTCTACAGCCAGTAAACCCATAAAAGGAAAGGCCTCAAAAAGTGTTAAATGAAGATCAGTTTCTGCACCAGTAAAAGCTCTTAGATTTTTATCTTACCTCTCATTTCGTCATCTCATGGACTCCTGTAAAGCCAGCCAGTTTGCTCATCAGCAGAACTGTCAGTAATTGGTAATATCCACGTCTGGTTCGGAAACTGGTTTTCATTTAATTTTACATTTTTTTTAGGCCTTTGCTTTTATACATTGGCACAGAAATGAAATCAAAATTGTCAATAGCAGTGCTAACCCATGAAGTTTGTGCTAACTTGTACTTGTTGAAAAAAACGATAATAACATTTTCTGATTATTATTTTCTGACTGTTTTAGCTAAGAATTTAAAATGCTGTAGTGTTTAACTTTGGAAAGAATACAGCTCTTCAAAAGTTTACTTTTAAGCATGCTAGAAATTAATTTAAAAAATAAATTTTAAAGTATTTGTTTAAAATAAATTTTATTAACCAAGTAATCATGTAAATTACAGAATCTACGGTTTAAGAATGAACTGATATTAGACCTGTACATATTGTTATTGCCTGATTTAATGTGCTTTTTCAGGCTGTGGTCAGCACATAGAACAAGCCTTAAAGGGTGTCCCAGTCGAAGAGCGCTGCAAATGTCCACGTGATACAAAGTCAAAGTAGGTGGATCCCTGCTTGCTGCCTAATATCTCATTCAGGTAACAACTATACAGCTCTTCTGTATCTGATCCTGAGTGGCTGCAGTCACTTTTCTTTCAGGCAACTACAGTATGTACAATACTATCTTACTTTCACCTGGTGTGAAATAACCACTTGCCAACTCGCCATAGCATGTATTGACATTGACTGGCTAGTACTGCAAATGAATGACTCACCACTTTGGCTAATGGTGTCTGGGCACTAAAACATGCTCAAAATGTATGAAACTAATTTTGAATAATTCTGATTACGAATTTACATTGAATTCAGTCCTTACTTATTGTGACCATATTTCATTAAAGCATACTATAATATATATATATATATATATATATATATATATATATATATATATATATTATAGTATGCTTTAATGAAATATGGTCACAATATATATATATGGCACGTGAAATTTTTGGTGAGTGCTACAGGGCTTTGGTGTCTAGGTGAGTGCCAGCCATGAGGCATTCGTCAAGATGACAAGTTCTGAAAGCTGCAAAGCTGCACACCCTGCTATCAGACACTGACAGTTGTTAGCCAGGTCCTAAACAACTTACCTTTTAATATACATTCTTCTCTCGCTTTCTCTTAGCAATTTTACGCTTGTTCCATTTAACCAATTGCTGAATATTAGCTGCTGTGGAATGAATATATTATTTTGCTACATATTCAATACATGGCATAGTGGCATATGTTCATGTTGACAAACATTTATTCATAAACATTCGTTTTGACTGGTAATGTCTCATGTAATCTTTGTGCCCGATTTTAAAGTAAATATTTCATATTAAGCATTTATTTCATTAAATATTCATTGTGGGTACATTTTTTATAGCTGTTAATTGACTTAAACAAAATTTCCAGTTTACTAGTCTGCTTTTTATGGCAGAAGCACTAAAGCCTGATATTTAGCTTAGCTGATGTCTTGATATGACTCTTCACGTTGAATTGCAAACCCCCTCCCATTTTTCTTTATATGTTTCAATTAAATTATTTTATGTGCAGTTATATAATTATGTCATTGAGTTTCTGTGCATATACTTTATGTCTAGAAATTCTTCATTTCTCTTTTCAGTTCTTGCACATTATTATAGATGAATTGTACCACCGTGAAAGCCTTAGACGCACACAACTTCTTGACCAAAATAACCACAGACACATATCAGGAGGTTTCCTGAAGATCATTCCAGCAGTCTTTCCGAACAATCTATTTCATAGGTCATCTACACATTACTCTTCAAAGGACATGGTTTAGTGACTTGATGAGAACACAGGAGGTGACCCTTCTGTAAACCATACGTGTGACTAGGTGCACTTGAGATGTCACTTAAGAGCAATGCCTTGTCATAAAACATACACCATTAGAAAACAAGCCCATTTTAACATGACCAAACCACCACAACTGAACATTCCTCTCAGGGATTTTTGCAGATGTGATATTCTGGCAACCATCATCTTAAGGCATGTTGATTGTGCAATATTATGATCTCTATAATATATATAACAAGTTAAACAGGCATTGATATAATTGAAGACTGATATGAGATATAAGCCAGCATTAGGTGTCGCCATACAGATATTTCTGTCTCAATTTCGTATTGTAAACATGTTTTGTTGGACTTAAATATTATTCATTTGTGTGATCACATTATGCTGTGATGTTTACCTGAACATTCGACTAGTATTTAAGGCATATTTATTTTGGGGACCAATTCATATTTTGATGTTCAATTTGCACCTATTTTAAGAATCTGTTCGTCTTCTGTGATGAGTTTGTTTGTGATGGTGTGATAACTGTATTTTCACAATAAAACATCTGAAAAAATAATTAAAAGTTAGTTTATCAGAGAGCATTCTATTTCTTTAAGTGTAATTTCAACTGATCTCTACTGTATTTCAACTGCTCTTCTTAAAATCGGATTACTTCTAAAAATCAGTTTAAAGATGGCATTAGAATAGATCATCAAATTTACATTTTTTTCTTCATCGAAGATTCTTGAATGGAATGATATATAAGGATCAAAGATCTTATAAAAGGAAAGCCAATCCATTAAAAAGTGTATGTCTTAAAAGATTGTTTGTAGTAAGCTTGTCACGTTTTTTTTTCTCTGTTGCATACTTTGAGCAGTGTCTTGACCTGTCTTTTTAATATCTTAGAATAACTGACGGAATATTTTTACAGTTATCAAGGGAATATGATCTCAACATTTAATTCCTCCATTGTACAGGTAAATGTCAATGCTTCACATGGCTAAACATAAAATTTTCAGATAAGTCCATTTGAAGTGGATTTCTTGTATATTGTTGGTTTTCTTTGCCTTGGCCTGTAAACTTGAGGACAGTACATACCTTCTGTTACAAGGACAATGGATACTTGAGTTTCTTCATGTGTGTCTGCAGTCTGATGGGTTATAATTAAACAACATTTCTGGGACTGATGCCATATAACCCAGACTAAAGAATAGTTCTTGGGGGTTTCCTTGCCTTAGGTCTTCGTTTTAGGAGAGATCATTATGTCCCAAGATTGATACAAATAATCTTAAACTATGCGTAAAAAGACAAGAAGTCCCCCCCCCCTCCCCGCAAGTTCAAGGGCAATAGACTTCAGTGTATTTATTTGTGTGGACCAATGGTTTCTGAAGAGACTTAACTGCATTCCCTCAATTGATATCAGATATCTCAGACCACAGATTTACCACATGATCCTGTTGTTGTTACAAATGTGATGCAGGTCATCTTGTACATCCTGCCACCAAGAGTTACAACAACCACTTTTCATCTTTCTTTAATATGACTTCATTCTAGAGAACTATTAACACCAACAGAGATAACCAAGTCTGAATTTATTGCACATTTTTGAAAAATTCCCACGATAAATTATGAATATTATCACTAAGCGTGTAGCATTTTATTGAGTGATGTTATTTTAACTTCCAGCTCCTCTCTCTGTCTTCATGAATTATAACTGGATTCATATTTAACGTGTAATCATAACTCGTGTCATTTTAACTTCTACCTATTCTCTATTACTTAATGAATTAAAACTAGATTCAGATTTAGCATGTAATCATAAGTGATTCATTAACTACCACCTATTCTCTATCACTTAATGAACTGTAACTGGATTAAGATTTCCCTGTTCATCTGTGCTTCTGTTTTTCATGTACCTCCATGAAAACCTGCACTTAGCTGAACATTTGTAATCCGACTTTGTACAAACTGTTTTGTTATATTTTACATATTGATCACAATATATTCATATAGATATTTTATAACATATGTATAGAAAAACTTAAGACTTGTTATTGCACTCTATGATTACCATAGGAATGTTTTCACTATTAATTCACTGTGTTTTGAGTTAATGGTGAAACAATTTCTATCTTAATCATAAAAAAGTAAGTATGACTGCAATGACTGAACATACCCTGTTTACCTTCTAAAGAAGTAAATAGTAAAACAAAATTACCAATATTCTTACAGCAAGTGCTCTTATGCACAATCCCTTAAATGATTATAATAAATAATTCTTTGATAGTGTTAAGCTAATAATATTAAGTACGATGCTTTGACACTGAATTTCCAATAGCAACTTATTGCTACATAACAAATATACACCATTTGCCAAGGCTAAGGCCAGATAGGTGAAAATCAGTTTTAAAATGATCGAAAAACAGTTTGCTTTGGGAACAAATAAGTTGCTGTTACTTTTTTATGATTTAAAATATGCAAAGTGGCACATTCTGTTTTTAAAATTTTGGTGACAAGTTGGTTTGTTAAAGATCTGTCTGTTTGATTAGAAGACGACTTTGACTCATTTCAGGCACAGTCTTGTTTTCTCTATTTTATGTTTAATTTTGGGAAATTTCCAAATTTATACGGCAATTCTCAAGACAGCACAGATGAAAGAAGTTTATAAAGATTCTTCTTTCAACAGTTATATCAATAACTTATCAAAAAGAAACTAAAAAGTAACTTACAGAGCTGATAAAGTTTTGAAAAGAACAACAAATGGAATCCCATTATTCTTCTTACAGTATATACAATAAGGCCTGCCTTTACTTTTAAAATGTTTTCCAATTCTTATCTAACATATTTATGACGTTGGCAGACAAAATGCCAATGGACAATAGTCATATAACTGTCTTTTTTACAACATATTTATAATGAATACATGCATTTACAAAAATGGATCCTTGGTACTGTAACTCAGCTGTAAAATTTGAGAGAAGAAATCCATACAGCTATTGTTTAACTCTGTCCTGGCATCTTCCGAAAAAAAAAAAAAATTAATTTGCCAGGTGTCTTGCAGCAACATCATTCAAAAGGCAATATAATTAATCCACTGTGCGTATGGTACTGGGTCTCATGGCGGCAGCAGCAACATTTCTTTCAATTTGTAAACATAAAACATATCCCAAGTGGAATTATTTCAACTGAGCGATGCTCCAGGTAAGCCTTAGATATATTTCCACATTTGTTGTCCTGATTAAAAACTGCATTTTCTAAGGCAGTCACAGCCATACAGGTTGCTAGTCCTCCAAAGTAGTATATTTAAGAAATCAACTTAAGTTTGCTTTTCCCTTGTGACATTTAAAAACATCCATCAAGAAGACCTGAAAGTCTTCCAGCAGACAAACAGGTCCACGTTTTCATCATTATAGCATTACTTAATACCTGTAGTGATTTATTTCAAAATATCATGTATATGGCTAAAACTATGGTTTATCAGCTGTTAGGGATACTGTTAGTTTGTGATGTCCTTGATTTCCCTAAATTCAGTGGCTTGTACCTATACAGTGGAATGGCAAATATTGTGATATCGTCCCCTGATGCCGATTTATCACCCTCAGTCTTCCATGCTCTACCCTTGAGAAGCCCCCGTGCAAACATTACTAGGTCCTGTGCCAGGCGAGTGTATCTAGGGGAAACAAAATAAATTATATACATAAATATTTCTCTCGGCAGTGACACAGAGTGCCTCATTATGTTTCATTCTGTACATTAGAAGTAGAAAGTCAAACCAAGACTTGTACAGCCCTTCAGCACTGGTTGACACCTTTGCAGAAGGTGGACACTCAACAATACCAGTTTCTTCAATGAAAAGTTTTCAATGATTTTATCATAACAGTTACTTCTACTCTCTCCTCATTGCTGTTACACACCCCAGACTCTAATGCATGGCCAGCACAATCCGGTGCAACACAATCTCACCTAGTGCAATCACATCAAACAAAATCTCACCAAACACAATCTCACAAAGGAGCAAACTTGCCCAACATGAAGGCATCAAACAGTCTCACCCAGCACATTCTACACAAACATGACATGTCTCTACACACTTATGTTATTATAATACATCGTGATTAAAACAACAGTACTATTCCCCATGATGCCCTGCCACACAAAAGAGAGAAGCTCAGTATATTATCAACTCACCTGCTTTGATCACCTTTATGATAATGCTTCAGTGATTCTAACACTAAATCTACTGTCTTCTCGTTACTGGTCACATCCCAGTAGCCGTCTGAGCCCAATATAAGTACATCATCCTCCGAGTGCTTACAGCTTGTCATGTCATACACCTTAACCTGGAGTAATATCACTAAAATGTTAAAATTTTCAAATATCTCTAAAATTTTTAAAAAGAATGTACATGACCTTGACATATCAAGGGATACATACTATCCAGTTATGTTATATTATTATCCAGAGTTATTAAGGAGATAATGAGTTTTGTGAGGCATTTTTTAATTTGATTTAAAATTATGGCCTCAGAATCATGTGAAGAAACATTTTTTTTCCAAACATGTTCAAATACCCAATCATTTATTTCAAAGTTCCATTTCATTATGACATGACATTTAAATTACTTACAAAATACATTTATGATACGCACTGTGAGCCCTGCTCACCTTTTTGAACTTTGAAATAATTTAACAATGTACTCCTCCTCATCATAGTAGGGTAATGGTTAGATTTGTCATTTCTCAACCTCTGACTATGGGCCTTACCAATTAAGTAGGTAGCTGTATTATTGTGAACTATTGCTTGCACCCGTGCATGTGTGTGTGTGTGTGCACGTGTGTGTGTATATATTTATGTATTGCACAGCTGTACCCCTACCTCTGGTACTGGAGTTAGGAATGGTTTTATATGTATATTAGAATCATGCACCATTAAGTCGTGATCTCCAAATCCCCGTGTTACACCTATTGTGGCTAGCACCCTGGCCTGTTAAAATAGAAATGTTTACATTATAGAAAAATTCGAACTATTATATAACTGTAGAACCCCCTTTTTTTTTGGAGGGGGAGGGAGGGGGCTAAAGCTTTATTTCATATACAGATGCTAAGATTTTTTCTATTAAACTTCATGATCTGATATATAACATTAAAAAATGAAAAAAAAAAAAAACAAAGATACAATGTTAACTTTAAAACTTGCATCTTGGGATAAAAACTGTGGATGTGAGCAATAAGTAGAACTTTATTAGTAACATGAATAGCCATGTATTTTGCTAATATGCCAATAATCATGTATAAGCATTTAATAATTTCCAATGCCATATTAACTCCTTAGTTGGGGATTCTCATTGTGTTATATATGATAAACAGCACAATCCAGAAAATACCTGCCTCCACAAACCCATCAGAACATGCAAGAATAAAATAAGTGACCATATTTAGGCCTTGAAAGGGAACCCGTTCAGCAAAAGAACTGTCTGTTTAATCCTGGGTCCAAATAAAAGAAATGAGGTTGCAGAAATAAAAACCTACTTTCATTTTTTATAGTTATTTTGTGAAACAGGGGGTGAGGCCTAGTGTAATTGGGCTTTCAGAAACTTATTTTACCCTTTTCCCATCTCCAAATACCAGAGGAAACTTGAGGTCACCCTCTTCTACTGTCTTGTATGCCCTGAAGTGAATATAATGATTATAATGATAATGTTAGATACCTAACTATTGAGCTAATATTTCTACACTTTTATTTGATTTTTGCATCAAATTTCAAGTATATTCAAGAAAATTTTTACAATATTCAGTGGCCCAATGAAAAAATATGCGGCCTTTACAAATCAACATTTAAAATGCCTTAATGATTACTTTATGAAAAAATTTTTGAAAATTGTGAAATATAGTGACTGAGTTTGTCATATCTGAATTAAGTGAGAACCTTATTACTCTATTTTATGATGTGAAATTCTCAAACTTTGTAACTTTTGCCTTACCAACCAGACATCTGTGCATCCCTGTACAGCATCCTCTTTCCAATGTCTTTTTTATGGACACGTCTGGGGAAATCTAGATGTGTGAACTCATTATGTAGTAGCTCTGGCTGAAGATATCCCTGGATAATTATGAAAAAAATGTGTTAATAGCCTTTTCCCTAGATGTATTTCAAAAGTATAATTTATTAAGAATGCCAAGTTTCAACATTTGTTAACACTTTCTGGATGTGTGAACTCATCAGGTGGTGGCTCATGTTAATGGTGGACTGGAATAGTAAGAAAATATTTACGTAAGGCAAACATCTATGTTTTCAGAATTATAAAAACACAAATTCAATTCTTTCTCTTTTTTTTTCAATCACCTGCAAAATTCATTACACTAGTCATTTGTGTGAAAACACACACACACACACACACACACACACACACACACACACACACACACAACAGATCCCAACAAAATACTCACTAAATACTGTAGTCTTTGCCTCTCTGACTCAGGTGTGAAATCTTTAGACATTTGTATAGAGGTCCCATCTTTCACTATCACAGCCCTGAAGGAATGAAGGAAATAATCTTCATTGTGATAAATCATTACATTCAAGTTACAAAAAACATTCAACTTACAAATTCCCTTCAACTAATAACACAGGGTAAGAATCAGGATAAAACAAAATGTTAACATCCCGCCATTGTCATTTTATATTTTTGACTATAAAGGCTACGTAATTTCTGTAGTACCTGCAATCCCCTGCATTTGCCACATACAACTTGTCCATGAAGAACAAGGCCACCAGGGCCGTGCACCCCCCTATTATCCGAAATGTGGTCCTCTCACGCGCTATATGGTTATCCTGAAAGACATATTACATTGCCTTCTGTACAATTGAGCTGTATTACTTGAATTGAACTGTATATTGAACTTTAAAAGCATAAAAATAATAAAATTAATGAAAAATTGTTGNGGAACATTTTTTACCAAACATGTTCAAATACCCAATCATTTATTTCAAAGTTCCATTTCATTATGACATGACATTTAAATTACTTACAAAATACATTTATGATACGCACTGTGAGCCCTGCTCACCTTTTTGAACTTTGAAATAATCTGACAATGTACTCCTCCTCATCATAGTAGGGTACGTAATGGTTAGATTTGTGATATCTCAACCTCTGACTATGGGCCTTACTAATTAAGTAGGTAGCTGTAGGTGAATTATTGCTTGCACCCGTGCATGTGTGTGTGCGTGTGCGTGTGTGTGTGTGTGTGTGTTTATGTATTGCACAGCTGTACCCTTACCTCTGGTACTGGAGTTAGGAATGGTTTTATATGTATATTAGAATCATGCACCATTAAGTCGTGATCTCCAAATCCCCGTGTTACACCTATTGTGGCTAGCACCCTGGCCTGTTAAAATAGAAATATTTACATTACAGAAAAATTCGAACTATTATATAACTGTAGACCCCCCCCCTTTTTTTTGGTGGGGGAGGGGGGTGGGGGTAAAGCTTTATTTCACATACAGACGCTAATATATATTCTATAAAACTTCATGATCTGATATATAGCATTAAAAAATGAAAAAAAAATAACAAAGATACAATGTTAACTTTAAAACTTGCATCTTTCACAAGCCTATATATATATATATATATATATATATATGGGATAAAAACTGTAGATGTGACCAATAAGTAGAACTTTATTAGTAACATGAATAGCCATGTATTTTGCTAATATGCCAATAATCATGTATAAGCATGTAATAATTTCAAATGCCATATTAACTCCTTAGTTGGGGATTCTCATTGTGTTATAAAGGACAAACAGCACAATCCAGAAAATGTGGTCATAATTTTCAACTAACACAATACCTGCCTCCACAGAACATCAGCTGCATCAGAACATGCAAGACTAAAATAAGTGACCATATTTAGGCCTTGAAAGGGAACCTGTGCAGCAAAAGAACTGTCTGTTTAATCCTGGGTCCAAATAAAGGAAATGAGGTTGCAGAAATAAAAACCTACTTTCATTTTTTATAGTTCTTTTGTGAAACAGGAGGTGAAGCCTAGTGTAAGACTCCATTCACATGAAAAATCTATTTTCTAAAAATCTATTTTCTGTTCGTGGTATCTTGTGATCACTCTGAGCGCCGAGAATTAATAACAGCTTTGGAAGTAACTGGCTCGCGCTGCCAGTAATTACGCCGTGGGGTATTCAGGGCACAGACTGTGATCACAAGATACCGCAAATAGAAAATAGATTTTTCATGTGAACGGAGCCTAATTGGGCTTTCAGAAACTTATTTTACCCTTTTCCCATCTCCAAATACCAGAGGAAACTTGAGGTCACCCTCTTCTACTGTCTTGTATGCCCTGAAGTGAATATAATGATTATAATGATAATGTTAGATACATAACTATTGAGCTAATATTTCTACACTTTTATTTGATTTTTTAACCGAATGTCAAGTATATTCAAGAAAATTTTTACAATATTCAGTGGCTCAATGAAAAAATATGCGACCTTTACAGATCAACATTTAAAATGCCTTAATCATAACTTTCTGAAAAAAATTTTGAATATTGTGAAATTTAGTGACTGAGTTTGTTATATTTGAATTAAATGAGAACCTTATTACTCTATTTTATAATATGAAACTCTCAAAATTTGTGAATTTTGTCTTACCAACCAGACATCTGTGCATCCCTGTACAGCATCCTTTTTCCAATGTCTTTTTTATGGACACGTCTGGGGAAATCTAGATGTGTGAACTCATTATGTAGTAGCTCTGGCTGAAGATATCCCTGGATAATTATGGAAAAAATGTGTTAATAGCCTTTTCCCTAGATGTATTTCAAAAGTATAATTTATTAAGAATGCCAAGTTTCAACATTTGTTAACACTTTCTGGATGTGTGAACTCATCAGGTGGTGGCTCATGTTAATGGTGAGGGAATAGTAAGAAAATATTTACGTAAAGTTAACATCCATGTTTTCAGAATTATAAAAACACAAATTCAATTCTTTCTCTTTTTTTTTCAATCACCTGCAAGATTCATTACACTAGTCATTTGTGTGAAAACACACACACACACACACACACACACACACACACACACACACACACACAACAGAACAGATCCCAACAAAATACTCACTAAATACTGTAGTCTTTGCCTCTCTGACTCAGGTGTGAAATCTTTAGACATTTGTATAGAGGTCCCATCTTTCACTATCACAGCCCTGAAGGAATGAAGGAAATAATCTTCATTGTGATAAATCATTACATTCAAGTTACAAAAAACATTCAACTTACAAATTCCCTTCAACTAATAACACAGGGTAAGAATCAGGATAAAACATAAAATGTTAACATCCCGCCATTGTCATTTTATATTTTTGACTATAAAGGCTACGTAATTTCTGTAGTACCTGCAATCCCCTGCATTTGCCACATACAACTTGTCCATGAAGAACAAGGCCACCAGGGCCGTGCACCCCCCTATTATCCGAAATGTGGTCCTCTCACGCGCTATATGGTTATCCTGAAAGACATATTACATTGCCTTCTGTACAATTGAGCTGTATTACTTGAATTGAACTGTATATTGAACTTTAAAAGCATAAAAATAATAAAATTAATGAAAAATTGTCCAAAATCTCAAGTTAAAGGGCAATGAAATAAAAAAGTCATGTTATTTTAAGTACTAGTAGATTGGGGAGCTTCAGTAGTCATATAAGAGTCAATATAAAATATAGAACATATATAGCTATTTAACATAAACTGACATCAAAGAATACAAACTTATTATTAATTTAACCTAAGAAACATAAAAGTTGACAAGGAGGCAGATCTAGTCAAGTATAATCATCTGTGTAAACCCCCCTCCCCTTTTCCTAAATCAATACTATAAGTTCTCTTCTGTTTTTGGACATACACGTACAGTCTACATACAGTACCCACTGATCCACTTCTTACCATTTCAACAAAAGCTGCCTCTAGTGCCCCACACACCAAATCTTCTACACTGATACTGGACTCTTTGCTTGTCATGCCATACCTGGGCGTGGCTGCATAGATAGAGTTTTGCTCAGCCCCAGGAGACTGTGGAGGAAGCAGGCCTTTCTTTGATAATATGAGATCAATGCAGTCTAAAAGCTTCTCCTGAAATGAGTAAATAAAGTGCCATGCATTAAAATGATGAGATTTACTACATGTAAATGCTAATTAACATACGAAAGTTATATACAAGAACACAGACATAGGCTGAAAATTCTGCGACAGCATACGTGATGCTCATGCACACCCATGTTTACGTGGCCCACACCAACCTGTACATAGTTTTAGTCTGCCACATGCAGTAACACTGGTTTCATGTCAAATGCCAATAAATGAAAGCTGAGGCAGTTATATTTTGTAAATTTTGTTATTGGCAACTGTTTTTGCTTTGAGCCATTAGATTTTTAAACTTATTTACAGATCATAATCTGGTAAACAGTGATGTTCTGGTTATGGTGTACCTTGCGTGAAAATACAGTAAAAGTGTTGACATCTCTAGGGATATTAATTCAGTCTGTGCTTCAGACACATCCACTGCACAGAGTTTAAATTCTCTGCCTGGAATCCTGTATTCTCAACAGCCCACTTGAGTCATAGTTCAGGGACCGATGGGATTAAAAAGATTTTTTCTGGCAGCTAAGTCTTAATGGATCAGTACTTAGGTTAATAATACAAGAGACTAAAGGGAATGTCAGTGACCATTAGGGTGTATCCACACCATACTCAATAAGATCAAAAATATACTTATTATTTTTTCATAAACATCGGTCAGAGGGCTATAAAATCATGTGGAATGACATTAAGTCACTGAGTGTACATCATGAATGTTAACAAAATGTTTTAAACCATATTAAAGAACTGAAATGAAATTTAAAAAAAAAGCTGCTGACGACAATGTTGAAAAACACTGTGTATGTACAATTGTTGGCATATAGCAAGGAAAACTCCTTAACTCACAGAAATACTTAGTACTAAGTAAATATTTTCAAATACTTAAATCACTTTTCTTCATCCCTATAGTTGGCTAGGACAGCCAATGTCCTGAATGTCTAGATAATTAATTTCTTTCAAGAAAAAAAGACCACAATACACGTGTGTATGGCCTAGTACTGCTTAATTGCTACATATTATTACTGCATATAGAATTTTAAACTACAAAGATTATTTTAAAGATAATCAAAAGAAAATATGGGGCATAAATCAACGATATACTATTCCGTAAATAAAAAAGGTTTTTAATTTCTTTTTCACTATCAGAAGTGCTATGGAGACATTTGATTTGATTTGATTTTAAACAGACCATAAAACTAATCTCATAACTTACATGACCATCTGCTTTTACATTCTTTTTTTTTTGCTTTGGTAGAATTTGCCCACTGTTGACCTTTATGTTCTGATGGAACTAGCTTGTTCTATAATATGGACAGTCGCCCTTTAAAATGTTAAAAGTCATAAGTATCATTTTATAAATTATCCTTTGAGATATAGGTAACCAATGTAAATCATGAAGAACTGGTGTAATGTGATCAGACTTTTGAGTTCTACAGAGGGGACAAGTCCTCTAGTATGTTCTACAAACAATTTACTTTCCATTTTGAACAGGGTAAAATGCCTAAATCATCAAAAATAAAACATTATCACCAAATGCAAATATCCTTGTGATACTGGTTTAGCTTATTTCAATTCAAATAAGACAAGTATTAGTCCCCCCCACCACCAACACGGCCGTATTCTGACCTTAAGGTGACCTTTACTTGTCCAATTTGAATGTGTCCTTACTGATGTTGATGCAAGATTGAGAGCTATAATCCATAGATCAATCTGACTCCATATTATATCCCTCAAGGATTACATCTGAGACAGTACAGTATAAGATCTATGGAGTATGGAAGATTGACAGCGTGAGAACTTCTCTTTCTCTTTAAACTAAGGTCCATTCAAGACAAAAGCTTGGTCTGAATTAAAACAGAAAAAGAGTTTTATCCAAACATTACCAGACAACTAGCACTTCTAGTAAAAATGACAGACTGTTATTCTGACATGGAGTTTCATATTCTCAAATGTGTTTCCAAAGATATTGGAAACTGAACTCTATTATTCACGTACATGCCTCGTTTAAGGCTGCGTTCACATGGAAAATATATTTTCTAAAAATCTATTTGCGGTATCTTGTGATCACGGTCTGTGCCCTGAGTATCCCACGGCGTAATTACTGGCAGCACCGAGAATTAATAACAGCTTTAGAAGTAACTGGCTCGCGCTGCCCGTAATTACGCCGTGGGATATCCAGTGCACAGACCGTGATCACAAGATACCGCAAATAGATTTTTAGATTTTTTCGAAAATAGATTTTTCATGTGAATGCAGCCTAACTGTCATGTTTAGTATCTTTAGGAATGAATTACTCTTTTAACCATTAAATATATGATACAAAATATATCTCCCCATTTTTGAGAATTACTATCATAATGTTAGCAATACTGGCATTCGTACACATGCACTGTATATAATACCATTTAAATAGTTTAATCAAGCTCCATCTGTGAGGGATTTGATAATTGAATCAAACAAAACCATGATAAAAGCTATTTTCCAAGAAAGAAAACAAGAATTCCCAACATGTCACACATTAACACACCTACCCCTCACTAGTGGGCCTGATTTGATCTTAAAGTGCAATTTCAGTCCAACACTAGACTGAACCGGTCTTAAAAATTAAGGAGGGACTCTTAATTTAGTCTTAAGACTAAAAACAAACTTAAATTGCAGTGAGTAAGACTATAATTGGTCTAAATTCAACTGAAGTGGCAAAGCAATTATCTCCCCACACACATTCAGATCAAACTTGGACTTACTCTCCAGCCAGACAGGTGAAGGTAGCAATCAAGTAGAGGGCCATTGTGTGAGTAGCAAAGGGTGGTCTCTTGGCAAGTAAGTGCTAATTGCCTAATTGATAAGGGTGATTCAGATACTGTCTCAGATAATTTCTAAAGCAAGGAAAGACTTGTGGAAGTACTAGTGCAGCATACTTTTAATGTTTTGACAGGAGAGCTTAGGAATATAGCATTAACAAACAAGGTACATTTATTTTTAAATTAGACATGGCCTTTTATTTGTCACAAACAATTGAAAATTCACTTCAATCTAACATAAAAATGTACAGTTTTAATTTTATTTAAAATCACAATATACCGCAGGAATTTAATGTTAGAATTTCATATTCAAAACAATATACATGTATTTCTTGATTTTTGCCTTTGAAGGAAGTCTTTCTTTTTTCTTTCTCTCTTTGCCCTTGGTGATGTAGTTGCGATTGGTCTTGGACCCAAGTCATTTGATGCCGCAGAAGTCATAAGGGTGGACAATGATCAAGTGAGTGTGAAATATCTGAAGAAAAGAGGGCAAGTCCTCACTGAGTGGTTAATCGAAGGAATGGACTATTTGGGCAAGTGCCACATCAACTCAGTAGTATCATGTTTTCGTAACAAAAATTACATTTCCAAGGAAGAGATGGACAGAACTTTGGACATTTTAAAAGAGATTTTTTAGGACAGACGCATCAAGGAAATTATACAGCAGGGAACTTGCCATATCATAAGAATTTAAGGATCAAGATAAATGTGAAATTGATACGATTTAATTTATAATTGTGAATACTGATGTGNCCCCCCCCCCCCCCCCCACCCACCACCACGGCCGTATTCTGACCTTAAGGTGACCTTTACTTGTCCAATTTGAATGTGTCCTTACTGATGTTGATGCAAGATTGAGAGCTATAATCCATAGATCAATCTGACTCCATATTATATCCCTCAAGGATTACATCTGAGACAGTACAGTATAAGATCTATGGAGTATGGAAGATTGACAGCATGACAACTTCTCTTTCTCTTTAAACTAAGGTCCATTCAAGACAAAAGCTTGGTCTGAATTAAAACAGAAAAAGAGTTTTATCCAAACATTACCAGACAACTAGCACTTCTAGTAAAAATGACAGACTGTTATTCTGACATGGAGTTTCATATTCTCAAATGTGTTTCCAAAGATATTGGAAACTGAACTCTCTATTATTCACGTACATGCCTCGTTTAAGGCTGCGTTCACATGGAAAATCTATTTTCTAAAAATCTATTTGCGGTATCTTGTGATCACGGTCTGTGCCCTGAGTTTCCTGCGGCGTAATTACTGGCAGCACCGAGAATTAATTACAGCTTTGGAAGTAACTGGCTTGCGCTGCCCGTAATTACGCCGTGGGATATCCAGTGCACAGACCGTGATCACAAGATACCGCAAATAGATTTTTAGATTTTTCGAAAATAGATTTTTCATGTGAATGCAGCCTAACTGTCATGTTTAGTATCTTTAGGAATGAATTACTCTTTTAACCATTAAATATATGATACAAAATATATCTCCCCATTTTTGAGAATTACTATCATAATGTTAGCAATACTGGCATTCGTACACATGCACTGTATATAATACCATTTAAATAGTTTAATCAAGCTCCATCTGTGAGGGATTTGATAATTGAATCAAACAAAACCATGATAAAAGCTATTTTCCAAGAAGGAAAACAAGAATTCCCAACATGTCACACATTAAGACACCTACCCCTGCAATTATCACATTAGAGAAAAGCGCCTTTAAAATGTCAAAGCTCTGATCTTTTGAGTTTGTGGAAAACACAGCATCTGAGCCTATCCCTTTTATATAGTCTTTTTCATCTTAAGACACAGATTAATGTTCTTTGAGATACCAGACAGGGCCTGTTGTTGAAATACAAAGTCTATCACAACTTAAAGTGATAACAACTGTTAAAAATATTGTAAACAACTCATGGAAATATAATAAATTCCATTTTACCACCAAAACAGCAGTTATCACAATAATTCTGGAATCTGTGCTTGCAATCAGACCATGTGGACTTTCAAAGATGGCTTTACCTTCATAAAAGTCTCTTTAGAGATTATTCCAAAAAAAAAAAAAACTTTACATCATATATCTACATATCAGAATCGTAAAGTTTTTAAAAAATTTGGAAAGATTACCTTCACTTGTATTGTTTTTGGTTCATGACATTACCATGACATAATCATTAAGAAATTTCATGAAATTTTTCTGACATTATTTCATTATCATGAATTAATACTGCAGTATTAGTAAGTTCATGTCATTGCCTTGTCATACTTTGGATATTACCAAGAAACAATTATCCAGTATATAAGTTCAAAATTGTCACATGTTCACATTGCCCTAGGTAGCTTGATAACCCAGTAAGTTCATGACATTCACGTTACCCTAGGAAGCATGATAATCAAATAAGTTCATGACACTACTACGTCATCAAGCTATTACCATAAAGTGATACATTGTATATACCACTAATTAAGGTCATGGTTATCACCTTACCTTGACATGATAATCCAGTAAGTTCATTGCCATAAGGGCAGCACCAGTTCCAGCATGGCCATCAAATATGGCAAAGTATGTACATGGAATGTTCTTGATGGAAAGATTCTGTTAGAAAAAAATTTGAATAATGACATTTTATTTTAATAAATTTTAGAACATCAAATGAAGTATGTCTTGAAATTGACAGTGGGCATGAGAGAGTGAATGTCCTGACATATTCAGTGGACTGGTATCATGTAAAGGAAATTAAAGATATAATTATCTAATACTGCGCTTAAAATGAGTAATAATTCAGGGCTGGGATGTTGTAAGCTACAATCATCAACAGGTAAATGAGTCAGCTGAATGAGTGTCAGAGACGTATACAATTGGCTGGTCATGTGACAGGACAGATGACTAAAAATCTGCTGACAGACTGTCTGGTTCAAATACAGGAGATTAGATCTCTTCTCAAAGATGAATTTGAGATTAAATCTTTCTCATATCTGGGACTGCGCCTTCCAGCAGATACCTATATAGCCATCTTGCCTGTCACATGACCAGCCCATCAGGTCACTGACACTCTTTTCGCAGTTGAAGCTCTTGGATACTGATCTCAATGTCAGATCACTGCATTGTTACTTTGTATGTCCAGTATTAGATTTAATTTTCCTCTTCGTTTTTGATAAAACTGGACATGCTGGATGGGCACTTTTGTTGGGATTTGGCATTGGGATAATAAGAGTCAAAAATGATATTTACCTTTATCATTTACTTCATAATATTAACATTGATACTAATAGGAACTTTTTTAAAAAGAATTTTCTTTATTATTTATTTATTATTATTATTTTTATATATTTTTTAATACTAACTTTTGTGCTAATTTTCAAAGGTCCATTCACAGAATTATGAAAGCTTGGCCTTTTCTGCCTTACTTAAACATTCATTTTTCACTCAATAAAGGGTTGTCATCTACATGTATCTGTCAGGCCTTTATTTTCATTTTACTAAAGATTACATCTGATTCATTTTTATCTTTTCCACCTTACAGTTGTTGTAATGTGCTTTAGTTCCACTGGCTCCGTCTTCTTCTTGCTAAGTACACGGTTGTCTTCAGAATTTGGTTGTACAGAGGGTGGCTTCAACATGAACTGTACAGCTTTGGCTTGGTCTTCATTGTATTTACTTTTTCCTCCATTGATCACTCTGCAAAGGAAAAAAATAAAAAAGAATGAAAATACTAAATTGAAATCATTACAAAAGGGCCCTGCATGGTTACAGTAAACTAAAGCTCAAAATGAACACCAGTCAACTGTATCTTTGAAAGATTATATAAATATTTTTGTTTCATCTTTTTGAGCTTAAGCCTAGAAAATTATCTTCAGACTAAACTTTGAGACCAAAAATTTAGACTACTTTGAACCAAGACAAATCTGTAGTCATCAAATAAATGAATTATTTTGCTGGGTTTATAACAGTAAAAACAAAACATAGCTTNAGTGCCTGCAATTATCACATTAGAGAAAAGCGCCTTTAAAATGTCAAAGCTCTGATCCTTTGAGTTTGTGGAAAACACAGCATCTGAGCCTATCCCTTTTATATAGTCTTTTTCATCTTAAGACACAGATTAATGTTCTTTGAGATACCAGACAGGGCCTGTTGCTGAAATACAAAGTCTATCACAACTTAAAGTGATAACAACTGTTAAAAATATTGTAAACAACTCATGGAAATATAATAAATTCCATTTTACCACCAAAACAGCAGTTATCACAATAATTCTGGAATCTGTGCTTGCAATCAGACCATGTGTACTTTCAAAGATGGCTTTACCTTCATAAAAGTCTCTTTAGAGATTATTCCATAAAAAAAAAACTTTACATCATATATCTACATATCAGAATCGTAAAGTTTTTAAAAAATTTGGAAAGATTACCTTCACTTGATATTGTTTTTGGTTCATGACATTACCATGACATAATCATTAAGAAATTTCATGAAATTTTTCTGATATTATTTCATTATCATGAATTAATACTGCAGTATTAGTAAGTTCATGTCATTGCCTTGTCATAATTTGGATATTACCAAGAAACAATTATCCAGTACATAAGTTCAAAATTGCCACATGTTCACATTGCCCTAGGTAGCTTGATAACCCAGTAAGTTCATGGCATTATTAAAGTCATAATAACTCTTCGTTTTGGCCAAAAATGAGATTTTCCTGGAAAAAACGGCAATTTTCCCGTACTTACCGTACTTACCGTACTTGGTCAACGACCCCATTCCTGCATTCAAAGTTAATCCAGGTTTTTTTTCCTAAACGTACATTTTTTTTGTTAAAATCTCTTAAGAGATTTTAATTGACGGAGCCCTCTCTCTGACATGGCATAGTCATGCGATATCGAGCGATAGTTTCTGGTGACCTACTTAAAACCGCGGGAAAAGCAGACAACAACAACACTATATAACAATATTATAAGATTCATAAGATATATTCGTCTTATTGCTCAAAATGCATTTATATCTACAATGTGTGCAATTCTGGGCTTTTCGTTATCCGACGCACTGTACAAAAACTTGCAACTTACGTCTGAGGGTTTCCCGCCATGTTATTTTGGTCTCAAATGAACGCGAGAATCCGCGTGACACCTAAACGTCATTGGCAACGGATGCACTTGTCGACCGTGAAGAAAGGCATCGAAAGCCCAAGTGACAAGCACAAATTTTAGTTTTACTACAATAACAGTCGTTTTAGTGGGAAAATGCAATAGAATATATTTCCAGGCGTTGTTTACAATGTATTTCTTGCGGAATTTTGAATCTCAAAGGAAGAGTTATTATTGCTTTAAGACATGCTATTACCATAAAGTGATACATTGTATATACCACTAATTAAGTTCATTGTTGTCACCTTACCTTGACATGATAATCCAGTAAGTCCATGGCATTATTTAGACATCATGCTATTACCATAAAGTGATACATTGTATATACCACTAATTAAGTTCATGGCTGTCACCTTACCTTGACATGATAATCCAGTAAGTTCATTGCCATAAGGGCAGCACCAGTTCCAGCATGGCCATCAAATATGGCAAAGTATGTACATGGAATGTTCTTGATGGAAAGATTCTGTTAGAAAAAAATTTGAATTACGACATTTTATTTTAATAAATTTTAGAACATCAAAAGAAGTATGTCTTGAAATTGACAGTGGGCATGAGAGAGTGAATGTCCTGACACATTCAGTGGACTGGTATCATGTAAAGGAAATTAAAGATATAATTATCTAATACTGCGCTTAAAATGAGTAATAATTCAGGGCTGGGATGTTGTAAGCTACAATCATCAACAGGTAAATGAGTCAGCTGAATGAGTGTCAGAGACGTATACAATTGGCTGGTCATGTGACAGGACAGATGACTAAAAATCTGCTGACAGACTGTCTGGTTCAAATACAGGAGATTAGATCTCTTCTCAAAGACGAATTTGAGATTTAATCTTTCTCATATCTGGGATTGGGCCTTCCAGCAAATACCTATATAGCCATCTTGCCTGTCACATGACCAGCCCATCAGGTCACTGACACTCTTTTCGCAGTTGAAACTCATGGATACTGATCTCAATGTCAGATTACTGCATTGTTACTTTGTACGTCCAGTATTAGATTCATTTTTCCTCTTAACATTTGATAAAACTAAACATGCTGGATGGACACTTTTGTTGGGGTTTGGCATCGGGATAATAAGAGTCAAAAATGATATTTACCTTTATCATTTACTTAAAATTATTAACATTGATACTAATAGGATCTTTTTTAAAAAGAATTTTCTTTCTTTTTTATTTATTTATTATTATTATTATTTTTTTTTTAATACTGACTTTTGTGCTAATTTTCAAAGGTCCATTCACAGGCCTTTTCTGCCTTACTTTAACATGTATTTTTCATGCAATAAAGGGTTGTCATCTACATGTATCTGTCAGGCCTTTATTTTCATTTTACTAAAGACTACTTCTGATTCCTTTTTATCTTTTCCACCTTACAGTTGTTGTAATGTGCTTCAGTTCCACTGGCTCTGTCTTCTTCTTGCTAAGTACACGGTTGTCTTCAGAATTTGGTTGTACACAGGGTGGCTTCAACATGAATTGTACAGCTTTGGCTTGGTCTTCATTGTATTTACTCTTTCCTCCATTGATCACTCTGCAAAGGAAAAAAAAAGAATGAAAATACTAAATTGAAATCATTACAAAAGGGCCCTGGTTACAGTAAACTAAAGCTCAAAATGAACACCAGTCTACTGTATCTTTGAAAGATTATATAAAGATTTTTGTTTCATCTTTTTGAGCTTAAGCCTAGAAAATGATCTTCAGACTAAACTTTGAGACCAAAAATTTAGACTACTTTGAACCAAGACAAATCTGTAGTCATCAAATAAATGAATTATTTTGCTGGGTTTATAACAGCAAAAACAAAACATAGTTTGTACAATAAATACATGCATACATACATGTACTTGAATTTACCTTGAGTTGAATTACAGGGGGTCTCAATATAGATGGAACCCACAAATATGATAATGATTTATATCTGAGAAAAATAACTGAAACAAGATTAATTGTTCTGGAAGTTGATATAATAACAATTAAAAAAACAAAAACAATGATTTGCTACTGACAAGTCCACAGAGCCAGAAGTTTGCTTTGACACTACCACACATCAACAAGAAAGTCAGGATCCTCTTTGATCATTTCTCCAGTCATTTCGAACATTTGAGCTAGAGACATCAAACATTGAATCAATGTTTGTTTTTTTTTTAGTCTAATTATTATATCAGCTTCCAGGACATGTAATCTTGTCTCAGTTACTTGCCAAATCATTATATTTGTGGGTTCCATCAATATTGAGACACCCTGTATATTTATATGTCAGTGTAATTAAATCAAAGAATATAACTAAGTCAATTATAATTAAGACCATTAATTAACTGTAATTATACCAGACACACCAGTGCCTGCATGGGCATCACCATGGACATATTTACATTTTGGTGAGCAAAGAAACTGAATGTAGGAGGAATAATGTTATAATACAGCATTTTTTAATAGGGGACCTCAGTCCTTATTAGATGTGGTCCATCATGGCTCTGTGTGAACAATGCCAAATTTATAAATACATATCTCTCAGCATGAGCAGTTCTTTTAAAACAGAGGTCAATCAATAGGAGATCCTTCGTACAGAGAATTATATTGCTCCATATATCTTGTCAGAAGAAAAAATCATTTCTAAACTTCTCTTTAGGACCACATAATGCTGATATTTATTACTTTTCAAACTAATCTAAAGCAACTGTATTGTGGACAAAAAGAGTGTTCAGACAGATTTATATCAGTTTAAGTCCAAATGCCATCACCAGATGCAAAGTGATTAAACAGAAGCAATTTAAAAGTCTTCGTGCATCTGGTAGGAGCTGTTCTTACTTTCCTAGCTTGGCTGTGATTTACTAAATTAACTTAATGAACTAGACATTATATCTAAATTATTAACTAGCTACTTTACAAGTAGGATTTAACTGGCCCTTTAGACTGGTAATTAAGTCAGCACAAGTCTAAGCTTAGGGCTCATTCCCAATAAAACTATCTTTCTATATAGATCATTCCAACTCTGAGGGGACTCTTGCTGAATACAATCAGGTTAACATGCCTCCTCATTTCCAACATACTCATATATAAACACCAGGTATTCTTTATTCTACTGAACGCCAAGTGTGAGGAGGAAGCTTCCACAAGGGGTAGAATTAACTTGTTCCTCCATTTTTGGCACATGTCATGTAATATAAAAAGTGCTTATTTTGGGTCAAAGGATAAACAATATGGGGCAAAAACACAAAGCCATATGTCGCTTTTTTTCTTCAGGGGTGAGTATAGATACTGTAACTCATAATAAATCCAGGGAATGGTTTGAAGCACTGAAAAAGTAATATCTGCTGACCACCGATCAAATAAATCATCTACAGAATTATCACTTTAAACTATCCCTGACCTTTTAAATGATGAATACGTTACATATATCTGAACGTAGATTATTCCCCAGCATCCACACAATTCAATTTATCAATATCTGTAGAACTGATTACAGCACTCTTTTTGAGCAGGAACAGCTTAAATCATTCATTTGTTGAATGATTGGCTGAATTATTAAACCC